GGCGGAAATTGAGGGTAAGCAATGATCCCCATACACTGGATGAAAAATAGTTTGAACTGTCCAAGTGAAAGATTTTCATTTTTCGACCTATTAATGGGCACTGATAGAAAATCTGTTTTGAATAATATATATATATAATATATATATATAATATATATATATATATATATATATATATATAATATATATATATATATATATATTATATATATATACACACACACACACACACACACACAAACAAAGTTAGGTCCATATATATATATATTATATATATATTTATATTTGGACACGGCACAATTTTCATACTTTTGGCTCTGTATGCCACCAGAATAAATTAAAACAAAACAATCCAGAGGAATTTGAAGTGCAGACTTTCAGCTGTAATTCAAGGGGGTCGAACATAAATATCAAGTACAACTTTTAGGAACTGCAACCATTTTTATACACAGTCCCTCCATTTTCAGCGGCTCAAATGTAATTGGACAAATAGAATCATACATAAAATGTTCATTTGTAATATATTGTTGAGAAACCTTTACTGGCAATGACTGCCTGAAGTCTGGAACCCATGGACATGACCAAAAACTGGGTTTCCTCCTTTCTGATGCTTTGCATGATGTCCATGGGTTCCAGACAGAAAAGCAGGGTTTCCTCCTTTCTGATTTTCCCTGAAGTCGAACCCATGGACATGACCAAAAAGAAAGGGGTTTCCTCCTTTCTGATGCTTTGGTCATGTCCATGGGTTCCAGACCTCAGGCAAAGCATTAGAAAGGAGGAAACCTAGTCTTTTACCTGAAGTCTGGAACCCATGGACATGACCAAGCACCAGAAAGGAGGAAACCCAGTCTTTGGTCATGTCCATGGGTTCGACTTCAGGGAAAGCATCAGAAAGGAGGAAACCCTGCTTTAAGTCTGGAACCCATGGACATCATGACATTACATAAAGAAAGGAGGAAACCCAGATCTTTGGTAATGTCCATGGGTTCCAGACATTAAAGCAGGGTTTCCTCCTTTCTGATGCTTTACATGAAGTCTGGAACCCTTGGACATGACCAAAGACTGGGTTTCCTCCTTTCTGATGCTTTGCATGAAGTCTGGAACCCATGGACATTACCAAAGACTGGGTTTCCTCCTTTCTGATGCTTTGCCAGGCTCTAACTGCAGCTGTCTTCAGTTCTTTGTGGCTCTTTCTGCCTTTAGTTTTGCCTTCAGCCAGTGAAATGCATGCTCAATGTGGTTGTGATCAGGTGATTGACTTGGCCATTGCAGAATATTCCACTTTTCCTTCAAAAGCTCCTGGGTTGCTTTTGCAGTGATTTGGATTCGTTGTCCATCTGTACTGTGAAGCGCCGTCCAATCACCTTTGCTGCATCTGGGCTGACCGTACATCTGTAAACACTGCAAAATTCATCCAGCTGCTTCTGTCACATCAATAGCCACCAAATGACCCAGTGCCACAGGAAGCCATGCATACCCATGCCATCACACTGCCTCATGTTTTACAGATGACATTGTGTGCTTTGGGTCATGAGCTGTTCCAAGCCTTCTTCGTCACACAGACTAATTTTTTCTTCCTGTCATTCTGGTCTGGCTTTTTTAGATGTTTTTTGGCAAAGTCTAATCTGGATTTTCTATTCTTCAGGCTTATGAATGGTTTGCACCTTGTGGTGAACCCTCTGTATTTGCTCTCGTGAAGTCTTCTCTTGATTGTAGACTTTGACAATGATACGCCCCCCCTCCTGGAGAGTGTCCTTCACTTGTCTGGATGTTGTGAATGGGTTTTTCTTTACTATAGAGGATCCTGCGATCATCCAACACTGTTGTCTTCCATGTAGGTCCATGCCTTTTTAGGTTGCTGAGCTCACCAGCACGTTCTTCTTTCCTCCAGAATGTACCAAACTGTTGATGTGGCTATACCTAATGTTGCTGCGATCTCTGATGGATTTGTTTCGTTTTTTTGAAGCCTTGCATTGGCCTGTTTCACTTGCATGGACAGCTCCTTTGAACGAATGATGCAGGTTCACAGCAATGCAAATACCACACTTGGAATCAACTCCAGACCTTTTACCTGCTTAACTGATGAAAAAATAACGAAAAGGAGTAGCCCACACTTGGCCATGAAAACAGCTTTTGATTCAATTGTCCAATTACTGTTGGTTCCTTGAAAAAAAAGGGGGAAGGCTACTCTTAAGAGCTGAAATTCCTAAACCCTTCCTCCAATGTGGATGTACATACCCTCAAATTAATCCTGAGAGTGCGCACTGTTCCGCCCGTATCTATTATAGAACTAGCTTGAATATGTTTTGGTAAACACCTGAGAAAAAAAAAGAAGAAATTGTGCGTGTCCAAATACATACAAAGTTGGAAACAGTCAAACTGATGAAAGGTTAATGCGTTTCTTGCCAGTTAAAAATTTAACTGTTCACACTGCGCATTGGGTGACAAAAAAAACTGATGTCCATTGAACAATTTATTGTTCAAAATTCAGTCATTACATGATAGCACCATCGTTTACGCTCATAACTGAGTGTTTTCAAAAAATTGTTCAAACTAGTTTTCGAATATAGTGTATGGCCATCATAAGTTTAACTTTCTACTTTACAGATACCAACATTAGATGTTTAAAGGAGGGGAGCCCAAATATGACACGAGAAGTTTGCATTGGGCTTTAGTTAATCCAGCAGAGTACTTCCTTTATACCAATTCCATGAAGGCAACATTTTGGGAAAATCAAACCAAGTAGTAAGTACCATTTACATCTCACCTTTACTTGACCACTTAAGTGTCTCAGCCCTTTTAGAACATTTAATAGAAGAGTGGGAACCCCTTGTTAGTCTAAGTAGGGACGCAAAAATGTAGGTATTCAGGTGTTGAGATCAGATCACTGAACCCAAGGAGTATAAAAAACAAGACACTAAAATCAAAAATTTTAGATTAAACCAGAGGCCAACTGCATTTGTAAAAAAAAAAAAAAAAAAAAAAAAAAAAAAAACCCCAAAAAAGGGAAACCGCAGAAAAACAGAAAAAAAACCAAAAAAAAAAAAAAAAAAAAAAAAGGAATAACCACGAAAAAAAAAAAGTAAAAACCCACGAAAAAAAAAAGGAAAACCCACAAAAAAAAAAACAAGGAAAACCCACGAAAAAAAACAAGGAAAACCCACGAAAAAAAAAGAAGGAAAACCCACGAAAAAAAACAAGGAAAACCCACGAAAAAAAACGAAAAAAAGGAAAACCCAAAAAAAAAAAAAGGAAAACCCACGAAAAAAAAGGAGGAAAAAACCCACGAAAAAAAAAAGGAAAACCCACGAAAAAAAGGAAAAACCCACGAAAAAAAGGAAAAACCCACAAAAAAAGGAAAAACACAAAAAAAGGAAAAACCACGAAAAAAGGAAAAACCACGAAAAAAGGAAACCGAAAAAACAAAAATATATTTTTAAAGCTGAACTCTGGGAAAAAGCCAATATAGTCTCAACAAAAGTCATCTGTTTATTTAGAGGCATGTGTATTCTTAACTGAATGGTCCCGCAGTGTTCGGGGACCTGTGCAGTGTCCCAGAGGGCTGCGGGGAAGGGGGGCGAGAACTCCCAGACAGATCACCGTGGCGCATCTGACCAGAAGTGGGAACAGGTACCTATCAAATCCAGGTAGCCGCTGCCCCTAAAAAGCACCAAAATGTGGCAGTGGGGTGGATGGGTATTGAGGATGCAAACAAGTGCAACTTTCCCTTTTGGGGCAAAGTTCTGCTTTAAATGAAAGTTCAGTTTTAAAGAATGGCGAAGTAATTGAACAAACCAAGACGCGGTATGATGTTTCCAGTTTTTTTTTTATCTTTTTTCATGTTTTATTAGCAGACTTCTGTGGCTGTATCTACCAAAAAGTAAAATAAAAAATAATAAAAACTTTTGACTGATAATGTGCAGGATTGTTGGTGTGGGAAAGAAAAAAAAAAAAAAAAAAAAAAAAAGACTGGGAAACAGTTTAAATTTCTCTCTTGTAATGCAAAGGGTGACTATATAAAAAGATGGCAGAGAGAAAGAGGAGAGGGCTGGAAGGAGGAATAATCCAGAGGATTGTTGGTAAATGAACGCCATTGATTTACCTCCCCCCAGTCAAAGCAGGCTGCTGGCGCGATGACCTAAACCCCCTGCAGTGCTCTGCACTTGGTCTCCATAATGATGTTTAATTCTGCATCTTGTCTGTCAGAAGCCAAACACAGGGTGGATTTAGCATGACTGCCAACACAAAGTCCAAAGAAGGGAAGTATAAATAAAGAGAAAAAAGGGGTGAAACTCAAGAAATGGTCTTATGGCAACATGTTCGGGAAATGCGCACATCTTTCTCAGCCCTGCTGGGAATATGAGCCCAGGGTCTACTTGCACTAAGGCACTCCAAACTAGCATTGTCCCAGCAGAAAAACAGATCATGCCCGCCTAAACTGGCCGGTCAGGGATCATGAAGAGGAATGACTGGATTTGGGTGCTAGGAATTTATAAAATTGGGGAAGAAACTCCTAAAAAAAAAAAAAAATAATAATGTTTAAAAGGGTTTTGGTTTCCTTGCATAACTCTCCCCCTCCCCCAAATGTCACCCCCCCTACCCATCTGAAAGCACAAGGCTCTTTTGCCCTCAACCCCCCACACAGAAAAAAAAAAAAAAAAAGTCTTACATAGCTTTAAGAAAACCCAGTTCCTGAGACTCACAGTACATTGCTCCATTTTACAACCTGCAGAGCACTTCTCCTCTATTCCCTACAATGTTGTGACTGCCCCCAGTGTCATCACAAGAGTTCACTGTCCCCTTTACACCCCTCACTGCATCACATCATCCTTTGTAAGACCTAAAGAGGGACCGAGAGAGATTCTCTCTTTACAGGTTCTTCCGTGCTGGTCCCGAGGCCAGAGAGAAAGGGTCAAGAGGTGCCAGGAGAAGGTCAAAAAAGACATCAGGAGGAAATAGTGGAGAGGCCCCCCAGAGGTGAAGGGGGGAGGGGGGACAGGTCACAGGAAGTAGTCAGCAACAGGCTTCTTTGAGGGAATGCCTCTGGTCTCTTGTGGTGCAGCTTCAAAGATGATAAACTCCTTCTGGAGGTGTTCATCCAGTTCAAGTATGGCAGCAACATTTCCACATCTAGGCAGGAAAGAGGAAGAGTCAGACAAACTCACATGAAGAAAACACACAAACAAAACACAAAAACCCCAAAAAAAAAAAAAAACCAAAAACCAAAAACCCCCAAACCCCCAAAAAAGAAAAAACACCAAAAACCCAAACCCCCAAAAGAAAAAACACGAAAAAACCCAAACCCCCAAAAGAAAAAACACGAAAAACCCAAACCCCCAAAAGAAAAAACACGAAAAAAACCCAAACCCCCAAAAGAAAAAACACGAAAAAAACCCAAACCCCCAAAAGAAAAAACACGAAAAACCCAAACCCCCAAAAGAAAAAAACACGAAAAACCCAAACCCCCAAAAGAAAAAACACGAAAAACCCAAACCCCCAAAAGAAAAAAAACACGAAAAACCCAAACCCCCAAAAGAAAAAAACAAAAAAAACCCAAACCCCCAAAAGAAAAAACACGAAAAACACGAAAAAAAAAAACCCAAACCCCCAAAAAAAAAAAAACACCAAACCCCCCCCCAAAAGAAAAAACACGAAAAACCCAAACCCCCCAAAAGAAAAAAAAAACCAAAAAAAACCCAAACCCCCCAAAAGAAAAAAAGAAAAACCCAAACCCCCCAAAGAAAAACCCAAACCCCCCAAAGAAAAACCCAAACCCCCCAAAGAAAAACCCCCCCCAAAGAAAAACCCAAACCCCAAACAAAGAAAAACCCTCACCCCAACGAAAAAAAACCCTCACCCCAAAGAAAAACCCTCACCCCAAAGAAAAACCCTCACCCCAACGAAAAACCCTCACCCCCCCCCCCCCCCCAAAAAAAAAAAAAAAAAAAACACCAGAAACCCAAACCCCAAAGAAAAAAAAAAAAAACCCCAAAAACCCAAACCCCAAAAGAAACCCCAAAGAAAAACCCAAACCCCAAAGAAAAACCCAGACCCCAAAGAAAAACCCAAACCCCAAAGAAAAACCCAAACCCCAAAGAAAAACCCAAACCCCAAAGAAAAACCAAAAAAACTAAAACACCACACAACCCTCCCCCTTACCCCCAAAAAAAAATAAACCAAAAAAAAGCCTAGGAACCCTCAAAAAGGAGGCTCACCTATAACAGTAGTTTGGAGCCGACCACACCGTCAAAACGGTCTCATTGAAATGCCACTTGTACCCTTCCATAACCAGCTGATGTGCCCGACAGATCATGTCTATGTTGTTGGCTGCATTGAACTGTGCTACAACGTCACTGCCAAACAGGTAACCAGCTCCTCGTGGGCTCACCCCCCATCCAGTGGTGTCTAGAAAGCAGAAGAGATTATTATACATTTTACACAACGATTACCATGTGGCCAAAGGTTTGTGTACCCCGGACCATCACACCTACCTAAATCATAGACACACCCCTTCAACTGAGTTCAGGTGTTTCCAATGAAAGGTATGATTTATGCCAAAGCATATTAAAGGCTCCATTCACACTTCTGCCCACGATTCCAAATTGTGTGGTGAATGCTCCACATTGCGCAACATGCATTTGGGTGCCTTTTATCTCTTAATGGCACCCCAAAACACAATGCGATAATGCTGTAGCAAACCGCGCCGTTCAAAATTTCATGAAGCTTGTTGGCCAAAAATGGAGCAAGAGCTTCTTTTCGGGTGGCAAAGGCACATAGAACAGCCCATTCAAATGAATGGGAAGGCCCTATGTGACACACAAAATCGCTTGCAAATCACTCAGCAAAATAGTTCGCTTCCAACCTTGTTGTATCAGTTTGGGGGGGGGGGGGGGGAACGCTCTTTGTATCAGTTTGGGGAGGGGGGGGGGGGGGGGGAACGCTCTTTGTATCAGTTTTTTGGGGGGGGGGGGAACGCTCTTTGTATCAGTTTGGGGGGGGGGGGGGGGGGAACGCTCTTTGTATCAGGGGGGGGGGGGGGGGGGGGGGAACGCTCTTTGTATCAGTTTGGGGGGGGGGGGGAACGCTCTTTGTATCAGTTTGGGGGGGGGGGGGGAACGCTCTTTGTATCAGTTTGGGGGGGGAACGCTCTATCTTTGTATCAGTTTGGGGGGGGGAACGCTCTTTGTATCAGTTTGGGGGGGGGAACGCTCTTTGCATCAGTTTGGGGGGGGGGGGGGAACGCTCTTTGCCTCAGTTTGGGGGGGGGAACGCTCTTTGCCTCAGTTTGGGGGGGGGGAACGCTCTTTGCCTCAGTTTGGGGGGGGGGGGAACGCTCTTTGCCTCAGTTTGGGGGGGGAACGCTCTTTGCCTCAGTTTGGGGGGGGGGAACGCTCTTTGCCTCAGTTTGGGGGGGGAACGCTCTTTGCCTCAGTTTGGGGGGGGAACGCTCTTTGCCTCAGTTTGGGGGGGGAACGCTCTTTGCCTCAGTTTGGGGGGGGGAACGCTCTTTGCCTCAGTTTGGGGGGGAACGCTCTTTGCCTCAGTTTGGGGGGGGGGAACGCTCTTTGCCTCAGTTTGGGGGGGAACGCTCTTTGCCTCAGTTTGGGGGGGAACGCTCTTTGCCTCAGTTTGGGGGGGGAACGCTCTTTGCCTCAGTTTGGGGGGGAACGCTCTTTGCCTCAGTTTGGGGGGGAACGCTCTTTGCCTCAGTTTGGGGGGGGAACGCTCTTTGCCTCAGTTTGGGGGGGAACGCTCTTTGCCTCAGTTTGGGGGGGGAACGCTCTTTGCCTCAGTTTGGGGGGGAACGCTCTTTGCCTCAGTTTGGGGGGGGGAACGCTCTTTGCCTCAGTTTGGGGGGGGGAACGCTCTTTGCCTCAGTTTGGGGGGGAACGCTCTTTGCCTCAGTTTGGGGGGGAACGCTCTTTGCCTCAGTTTGGGGGGGAACGCTCTTTGCCTCAGTTTGGGGGGGAACGCTCTTTGCCTCAGTTTGGGGAACGCTCTTTGCCTCAGTTTGGGGAACGCTCTTTGCCTCAGTTTGGGGAACGCTCTTTGCCTCAGTTTGGGGAACGCTCTTTGCATCAGTTTGTATCAGTCAAGTATCCGCACCTGACTGGTGCGGAGGAACTCGAATGTCCTACAGAGCTCTGACCCCAAATCTTTTGAACAACCTTTAGGATGAAATGGAACACAGATTGTGAGCCAGTCTTCTCATCCAGCATCTCACAAATGATCTTTTGGCTCACTGGCCAATATACTCCCATAGACACCCTCCAAAATCTTGTAGAAAGCCTTTCCAGTGAAATGGAGGAAGTTCTAGCCATAAAGGCAGGCCAACTCCATGTGAAGAAGATATCCAATAACCCCATAAGTGTGATGGTCAGGTGTCCACATGCATCATTGAGCTTCGAAAATATGGCTGCATTATCAAACCCAGATGCTGAAAAATGGACTAAAAGACAAGGAGAGGTGTGGAGGGCTGGCCCTTGTCACCCGCATCTTTCTGAGATTTTTTTGGGGGGCAGGGCTGTGCCTTCTGGAGAGGTTTTCTTTGGGGGTGGGGGCAGGGAATACATGGGATGTACATTACCAATTTTTACTTCCATAAAACATCCTGTTCATTAGCCATTGAGGTGCTGTATCCTCTCTTTCTTGTAGGTTGCTGCTTTTGGATGCAACCCCCCCCCCCTTATGTGTGTGCAGGGGGTACGGCATGAGCTGGTGTACCACACCCAGGGCAGGCTGTTTAGCTATTGGGGGTTTCTTTTCTAAAAGACAAAAGCCCGGCTACAGAGCCGTCACTGAAGTTCTGTGAAGTGACCTCTGCAGCTTACACATGTTTGCAAATGTGTGCAAACTAAACCCCTTGTTCTAACGAACTATTAGATCGTGCTTCTTGCTGCAAAGGACAGTTATAGGTTGGGCTGGTTGCTCCTCATTTGAAAATTTATGTGCAACATGCTACGGTCATTACGAACAAATGGCAAACAAGGGTCAGCCTAACACGGCTATAAGTCTGCCGCACACTTACCTTCTGGATCAGACCAGAGAAGGTCACACATGGGCCCGTCATGTGGGACTTCCTGTTTGCGGTCTATGGTTCGGATCTGGTCCAGAGTCTGTATAGAGGGCGATAATCCACCGTGCACACAGAAAATCTATGGGAAGAAAAATAGACTTCCATTAAAAAAAGAAAAAAAAAAAAAAAAAAGGCTCAACAAATCCACAGGAGGTGAGCAGCCAGTGAGGATGAACAACCAATCACAAGGCACTACTGAAGAGTAAACGATGGCCGTCTGGTACATTTTGTAACTTGAGCAGCAAATTAAATCAGGTGGTTTACCATTCATCATCCTCAAAAAAAAAAAAAAAAGTCATGATGAAGTCAGAAAGTGGTAATGCCATTCCTCACCTTTCCATCAATGATGGCAGACAGGCTGAGATAGTCGAAGATTTCTGTGCAGTACCGCCATACAGTCACTGAGCCATATTTGCGCAGACATTCATCGTAAAAACCGTACACTTGAGTAATCTGTCGACTTTCGTGGTTCCCACGGATCAGTGTGATCCTGTCTGGGTAGCGGACCTGCAATTTTACAATGGAAATTACATTCAGCAATACAGCCTTCAGTTATTTAACCCCATTCATGCCTAAAGGTAAAACAAATCTAAATGCCTAAGCACAATTTTGCAACACTGACATGTTAGTAAAACCGTCCATATCACCACAACTACTTTGTACATCCAGGTGGATTATACTGCGTTTTTTTCAGGACAAATTGGGCTTTCATTTGGTGGTAAATGGTAATGGATATCTCCTGATTTTTTTTTTATCAAAGGAAAACTGGCCCAAAATAGTAAAAAAAAAAAAAAAAAAGAATTTTTATGTAGCTGTGTGTTTCTTGTTAATACCATAAAACTACCGCCAAAGAACCCAAAATAAATTATCCAGCTCTTGACGATCGCAGCGATACCATATATGTGTATATTATTTGTACCCGTAGTACAGAGCCGAAAACAATAGTGCGCACATTTTTTTTTTTACTAAAAAAAAAAAAAAAAAGACAAAAAACACTGACACCGACACCAAATGTTTTAAAAAAATCCTGACCTTTGTTCCAAAAACACTAACCCTGGCACTGGCACTGAACTAGATCAAACTTTGATCTAGGTATTTGTAAAAAAAAAAAAAAAAAAAGATAAATATTAAAAAAATAAAGAAACATTCCCCCCCCCCTCTATGCCAGGAGTTCGAGAGATACAATGTATCTCTTCTGCATTCATAAAGAGGAAAAAACAAGGGGGCCGGGCTGTACAGTGACTGATCACTGTGATAGCCAATCAGAGGCTATCACAGTGATCATGTGACCTGGAATTGGGAGTCCCGACTGTTAGAACGGGACCCGGTGCTCTCAGTGACACCGTGGTCTTTGTGCTGGGAGCGAGCCGTGCTCCCAGCTCAAAGGCAGGTACGCAAATATGCGGCTCCACAGAAAAAAGCCCAGTTCTGTGAGACCGCATATCTGTGACATCGGAGTCAAGGGGTTAAAGAAAGGCTTCAGCTTTACCTAGTTGTCCCATCTGCACCGGGTGTTTGGTGGAAAACGGCATTGCTTGGCAATCTTCTCCCCTCTGCACTGTGTGCCTCTGAATTTCCATTGAAGGAAACTGCAGCAAGCAAACTTCCTATCTACAGAGAGACAGTTTTCCACAAGAACCACTGACTGTATTTGAAATGTCCCTGGGCTTCAGGTGGTGTCAGTGACAGCTGCTGTGTCCTACATGGTACATACAACATACATAGAGCCAGTTTCATCTTGATGAAAATGTTACTGCAGCTGGGCGCATCGGAAGAGGAAGATGTATGCAAGGACGCGGGCAGCACAAGGGGCGCGGGCAGCACAAGGGACGCGGGCAGCACAAGGGACGCGGCAGCACAAGGGGCGGGCAGCACAAGGGGCGCGGGCAGCACAAGGGGCGCATCTCACTGAAGGCATGCAATGTCCCTTGTGCTGGTTTCTTTTATGTAACGTGTGTTGTAAAGTATTTGAACTTCGGGAATATTTTGATAATGACAGTAACCAATGCTTCATATTCGCTTTGGGGTATCCTTCCATTTTAACCGTTACTTTTCTGGCGCAAAACAAGATAGCTGGTCCATGGCCAATGGTGAGAGCACTTCCATGTGAGGCTTCGATTGAGAACAGAGGAGCACCTGTCATTTTTGCACGAAGTTCACCAATTTGTAATAACATCTGGGCACTTTATTTTTTTGAATTGGGACTGAATGTTACTTTGATTCACTTTGTATATGTGAAGCAATATTATTCATGTATTGTCAAATTTAATGCACTTAGATTATGCGCAGTCCACACGGTATTTTGTTTGTTTTTGGTTCACAAATTGGGACTGCAGCATATACTTATCTAAGCGACATATTGGCATGGATGTCACTCCACTTCCTCAAACTCAATCTTTCCAAAACGGAGCTCCTAGTATTCCCCCCAGCCCGTGCCCCCTCCCCCGACTTCTCCATCAAGATTAATAACACAACCATCAGTCCCTCCCCTCATGCCAGGGTACTAGGTGTAATCCTAGACTCCCATCTGTCCTTTCAGCCCCCAAACCCAATCACTGTCCAAATCTTGTAGACTTCACCTCCGCAACATCTCCAAGATACGCCCGTTCCTAACCTCAGAAACCACTAAGCGACTCATTCACTCCCTTGTTATCTCTCGCCTTGACTATTGTAACTCCCTCCTCATGGGCCGACCTCATCGCAGGCTATCCCCTCTTCAGTCTATCATGAATGCTGCTGCCAGACTCATCCACCTTACTAACCGTTCTGTATCTGCCACCCCTCTCTGCCAATCCCTCCACTGGCCCCCATTCGGTGTCCTCCACCCCTCTCTGCCAATCCCTCCACTGTCCTCCACCCCTCTTGCCAATCCCTCCATTCGGTGTCCTCCACCCCTCTCTGCCAATCCCTCCACTGGCCCCCATTCGGTGTCCTCCACCCCTCTCTGCCAATCCCTCCACTGGCCCCCATTCGGTGTCCTCCACCCCTCTCTGCCAATCCCTCCACTGGCCCCCCATTCGGTGTCCTCCACCCCTCTCTGCCAATCCCTCCACTGGCCCCCATTCGGTGTCCTCCACCCCTCTCTGCCAATCCCTCCACTGGCCTCCATTCGGTGTCCTCCACCCCTCTCTGCCAATCCCTCCACCCCTCTCTGCCAATCCCTCCACTGGCCTCCATTCAGTGTCCTCCACCCCTCTCTGCCAATCCCTCCACCCCTCTCATTCAGTCCCTCCACTGGCCCCCATTCTCTGCCAATCCCTCTCTGCCTCCAATCCCTCCACCCCTCTCTGCCAATCCCTCCACTGGCCTCCATTCAGTGTCCTCCACCCCTCTCTGCCAATCCCTCCACTGGCCTCCATTCAGTGTCCTCCACCCCTCTCTGCCAATCCCTCCACCCCTCTCTGCCAATCCCTCCACCCCTCTCTGCCAATCCCTCCACCCCTCTCTGCCAATCCCTCCACCCCTCTCTGCCAATCCCTCCACCCCTCTCTGCCAATCCCTCCACCCCTCTCTGCCAATCCCTCCACCCCTCTCTGCCAATCCCTCCACCCCTCTCTGCCAATCCCTCCACCCCTCTCTGCCAATCCCTCCACCCCTCTCTGCCAATCCCTCCACCCCTCTCTGCCAATCCCTCCACCCCTCTCTGCCAATCCCTCCACCCCTCTCTGCCAATCCCTCCACCCCTCTCTGCCAATCCCTCCACCCCTCTCTGCCAATCCCTCCACTGGCTCCCAGTTGCCCAAAGGATAAAATTCAAAACATTAACACGAACATATAAAGCCATTTATAACTCTGCCCCAAATTACATCACTGATCTTGTCTCTGAATATCACCCAAACCGTCCTCTCGCTCCTGCAAGACATCCTACTCTCTAGCTCCCTTGTCTCCAGGACTTATCCAGAGCTTCCCCCATCCTCTGGAACTCTCTACCCCAATCTATCAGACTATCGCCTACTCTGCTCACTTTTAGGCGATCTCTGAAAACCTCTCTTCAGGAAAGCCTATCCCGCCCTCGGCTAATAATGGAATCTTCTACTCTTCCAACCAGTCCATCCCCCACAGTTACTACCTTTTGTACCACTAGCCCCTCCCTCTTAGATTGTAAACTCCCAAGATCAGGACCCTCCTATCCCTCTTGTATTGAACTGTATTGTCTCCCATTATATTATAAAGCGCTGAGCAAACTGTTGGCGCCATATAAATCCTGTATAATAATAATAATATTAATAAGTTGCATGAATCTCTATTCCTAAGCACAACAGCACTATATTTTATAAAACAAGTCATATCAGTTGTTAGCGTGTGTGCCCATGACATGGCATTGTAACATACCAAGCAGCATACAATTTTGGGCAATACGGTAGGCCACAGCCTAAAATCATCAGCAAGGAGTGTATTCGTAGCCAATAAAATGAAAGTCTGGATCATGACCACAAAACATGAACTGGCAGAGATGTTGTGGGGCAATGGCAGCTCCAAGCCGAATGACAGATTCCTAATCTACACATTTTGTGAGCAGTATAATCTAGTCTGTGAATGAAGTAGAAATGTAAGAAATGGATCCGGTGTAAAGATAACTTTAGGAGAGATTAAATAAATAAATACAATAAGAATGGTTTCCCTCACGTTCTCACAGTCCTCTTTACATCGGCACAAGACTTGCTAAATATCAGTCACAGCTAAATGGGTATCGCTGCAGTGATGTGCCGACTCCGTCTCATAGGACACCATAAAGCACACTTCTATTTTTAAAGGTAGAAAACTTTGGATCAATGTTTCTCAACCTTTTTTCAGTCAAGACACCCTTTAAAAATTATAGGCAGTCTTGAGGCACCGCATTCCAAAATTAGGTGCCTCAAGACTGTCCATAATTTTAAAAGGCACCCCATTTTAAAATGTGAAAAACTATAATAGTAGTTTTTTATAACACAGCAACATCCACACATGTAGGACACCCAACATTAGAGGTGATTTATTCTTCCAAAACAAATAAAGCTTTGCACACTGGTACTGACTAGTATGCCAATGTTTCTCTTCTCCCTCAGTTTTTTTTCATCACTGAGCTAATGTGACCCCAGCACTGATGGAGAGGGGCGGGGGAGGGTCAAACTAGGATGCAGTGCAGGCAACTGACATCCTCCTTATCAGCTGATGATGTCATCGGTTGTCAGGATGCCGGCAGCTAGGTGGTCACAATGAAAACATAAGGCTTTGAGTAACTAAAAGGCCGGCTTATTCCACCTGCTGGCTTGTATACAAGTTTTGGGAAGTTTTTAGACATTTTGCCAGGGCACCCCTGAAAAGGGCCTCAAGGCACCCTGGTTGAGAAAGGCTGCTTTGGATAAATGTTAAAATAAGGGAAGAAAGCAACACCAACTGGGGAGGAAATAAAAAATCGGGTAACTTTTTTCGGATACCTGCCTTATACTGGCAACGTTGTCAAGAACCTTTCTTGGATCCTAGACCCCATATAAAAAAAATGCAAGAGCTGGCCCTTCTTGGCAGGTTTAAGCCCCATCCCCAATCAAGCATCAAAAGCAACAACAAAACCGAAGTACTTTTTTTTTTTTTAAGATTACCTTCAGTGCTAGGAGGAGGAGGAATGTTTCAACACTATAAAAGCCACGGTCCACAAAGTCTCCCATGAACAGATAATTGGTTTCTGGAACATCTCCCCCAACCTAAAAGAAAAAAGGTTTTAAATGTTTACTTGCAGCATTAAGACGGCTGTACAGTATTGAAGGCAGTCAGCGGTCCTAGGAAATAAAACAGACTCTTCGACAGGTAGGCTGTTTGCAGCATGCCTGAAAGAGAACTAAAATCAGATGCAGAAAGCAACGTTCATATCAGCTCCAGCTCCGATGCAAGGGGCGCATCTTCACTCTGAGGTTGAGTGTTGTCCGGACCTACAGCAGAGCAAATGTTAGTCTGAGATTATGGCATGGATCCCCTTCGCCTGGTCACCACCATAGCTATGGGTGAGGTTTTCCCTTTTCTGGTACTCACAGAGTAGCATGTGATATATAGGTTATGACGGGAGTCACTTTGGGTGGGGGGCCCATGGAAACCAGCTCACTTTGGAGAGGTGGGGAGACCCCTGTCTCAGATCCCCATATCCCTATTATGTGCAAGTCACCCTGTGCCTGTTAGGGGTACAGGGTGAAATGTTCTAATATCGGAGTGGGGGGGGGGGGTTTGATTGTTTAATGCCATGTGGTTGCATCCTATTGTTCTACTGCAGGGCTTGAAAAAGCCGCTCGCCAAATGCGAGGAGAAATTCCTCTGTGGCGAGCAGCGAGCACAGATGAAGCATGGAGCGACTGCACCTGCGCCCTAAGCCTCATTGTGAAGCCGAGTTCTGGTTTACAACTTCCGGCTTCTACGGCACTGCCGCTGAGGGGACAGATGCAGGAAAGGTCCACTCTCCTCCGCTGAGAGGAGACACCCTCTCCACCGCCGCGGGGGATTCGGAGGGACTAGGAGTACTGTATACAACATGTCATATCACTATAATGGAGTACAGGGGAGCTGGGATATACATTACTGTGTACAGTTTTATATTTTGGACTATTTATTCTAAAGAAAAAATGTAATTTCATAAGCTTTAAGGGGGCATGGTTGGGGGGAAGGGTTGGGGGTGGGGTTTGGGGTGGGCCGGGGCAAGGTTGGGTGGGGCAACTGATGGAGAGTAAGTTTTGTGACCGGCTAGTAGGTCTGGACTCTAAATTTTAACCTCTGTTCTATTGTGCATCTTGCTTGGGAGCAAACTATTATGGGATGTATGTGTTTATGTGTATAGGCTTGGTTGGGGGGGGGGCGGGTGTCTCCTGCAGCCCTCCCTCCTGATGGGACTGTCTGCTGGTGTGAAGTTTGAATACCTGTGTGTCTCTTGTTGCTAAGTGTAGATTGCCCCGCCCTGTGTCATTATGCAGGGAGGGGGATTTGTCCCCTGAGTGTATAAAAAGCCAGTTTGAGTTTCAAATAAAGAGTTCCATGTTCAGACAGTCTGGTGTCGTCTAGTCTTGTATGGTCGGCTGCGGTGTTCGTGGTCGGTGTTAGGACGGGGAATCGGTAGTCTAACGGAAATACCCAAGTGCAGTCTGGGTCGGTTCCATTACATAGGTTAAGCAGGTCTAGAAGGAGTTAGGCAGCAACTGAGGTGTAGCCTGTCTTGTAGCGAAGTCATAGTTTCATAGTTAGTCTGGCTGAAAAAAAAAAAAAAGACAAAAGTCCTTCCGGTTCAACCATAAACTGTATACTGTAAACTGTATACAGTCACTGCCTGTCGCTATATGTCAGTGTCGGTTTTAAATGCAATTACCGGCTTTTTTTTCTTCTCTACAGCTCACAGAATTGGCTGTTAATTTCTCCCCAGCTAAAAGAAACAAAGTTTCCTTTTAGTTTCCTTCTGAGTTAAAAGAAACAAGTTTCCTTTAGCTGGAGGGAAAGCGACAGCTAATTCTGTGAGCTATAGTGAAGAAAAAAAAAAAAAAAAAAAAAAAAAAAAAAAGCTGGAAATTGCATTTGAAAATCGGAACTGACCTATAGTGACAGCCAATGAGGGAGCCTCTCTGTATACACTGCTCCCTCATTGTATACACACTGCTCCTCTCTTTGTACACACTGCCCCCCCTCCCCCCTACAAAGAGGGCTTGTCACTTATATGCCATCACATAGGGGACCATTGCTTCCCTATGTGATAGCAATAAAACCATAAGTCAATAAAATAAAAAAATATACATGAAACAAAAAAAAAAAAAAAAAAAAAAAAAAAAACAAAACATTGGAGCCTCCCCACCTGCACACATTCCGGTTTTCTGTTCGGTTTTCGGCTACATGCATTCTGAATTTTTGGTATCGGTTTCGGCACCAGAATTTTCATTTCAGTGCACCACTACTGAGGACTCAGACTGGAGTAAGGTTACAAGGAAACCATCCAAGTGGTGTTTCCTCCAAAGCTTTGCCAGCGTCCAGTCAGCTGAACTTGTAAGCCTGTAACCCTGGGTGTGCGAATACTTTACTGTGTCCTGTAAGTTAAGGGTTTTTTTTTTTTTTCACATCTAATGTGCCTTTGAACTTGCTAGAAAATTTAGCACAGCGCCTCCCCCGGACTTCAAAGCCCTCTCCTCTTCTGGGAGTGTGTAATTATGGTCTGTGATGACTCCGCTTCTTCCACCTCTCACTACAAAAGCTCTTACTTACTATAGGAGTAGGGAGAAAACAAAAATGCTGTCTTGTACGTCTGAGTCTGCTGGGACTGTTGACACACAACCAACCAAAATGGTAGCATCCAGCAGCAGTCTGAGCTTTTGGAGGTCTACAAGTAACTAACATGAATACAGTAGCCTCCCTAGCGTTCTGATTATGTCCATATTTCTGTGCTCAAAGAGACACTTTTTTTGCATGGAAATATGTATTTTTTTTATTGTAGGCCTGTAATTCTTAGGAATAACTCACTGAAATCTGTCTGAACAAGAGTCTAGTAAACATCCCGGGGATGATAAAATTTGAAACACGAAATCATAAATTATAATTTAATAAATAATCATAAAAAAATATAATAAAATTCAATAATGTAATCAAACCAAAAAACACAAAATTTTAAATATAGCGCCAAGTTCGCACATCGCTGAGCAAAGTCGCAGAATCGTTTTCAGTGTCTGATGAGGAATTTCCCCCACCAATCATTATCACTCAATTCTGCAAGTGGTTCTGATTTACTATCGCTGTTCTCTAGCCGGTCTAAAACCGCTTTTGACCTAAAGGGACGCTTTTTGGACGCCATGGACGTTTCTCAGTTTCCAGGCAGAAAGAACAGTCAAAATGCAGGCAGGGCGCCGGACAAAGCACTCGGGACACAATGTATGTGAAATTGTTTGATACAGGAATGTTATACTATGTGATTTTAGTGGATTTAGTGAATGTCGCTTTTTCACATTTTTGAATTTCCCGCCATTCCGTCCCCCGTACGTCCTGATGTCGCAGGGAACGGAACCCAGAAGACGGATGCTGGCATCGGCCGGAGGACATTGCCGGGGACACTGCAGGGGGGACATTGCGGGAGCGCAGGACAAGGTAAGTGAAGAAGAGATCCCGGAGCAACGCTGCAGTGTATTCCTGAGTGTAGCTCGGGGTTACCGCTTGTGGTGCTGAAACTTTACCCCGAGCTACACTCAGGAATACCGCCAGGGGGGTTAAAAGCACATATAAAAATGTATAGGAAGGTGGTGCAGAGATGAATGGATGCTTTAAAACCAGATGCCTAATGTCCTTTATATTCTTGTACTGAAAGCCATTCACATAGGGATATGGAAGCACCATTAGGCCAACAGGCATGATAATGGATCCCCACAGGAACGGTCCATGCTAACCTGGGCCCACAGAAATGGATTTGCCAGTGACCAGAGGGTGAACTGCCCAAAATGTTTCTTCTGAACGCAGAGGGGCGGGTAGGTGAAAGCAGCTGTACACATCAAGTACTCACCCTGAATAGCTCTTTCAGGTCATAAAACTGTCCGTGGATGTCACCACACACCTGTTACAGGAGATAAAACAATTAACAGCAGCACAAACTATTTGAAAAACTGAGGAACAGGTTACCCCCCCCCCCCCCAATGCTGTAGTTAAACTGCTAAACCAATAATCACCCCTTCATCCACTCTGACTTTGTGCAATAGATGATTCCTGCAGGAGGAACAACCACCATTATGGCATTTTATTGTACTGACCAGGTCATAAGGGCTATTACGTTTTACAAATACGCACCTAATTATTTTATGCAGCTATGTGGATCGGATTACTGCCAGACTACTTTTACTGTGTTTTGAAATTCTACAATAAAGAATCTAAATTTAATAAATACCTCCCTGCCATTGAATGTCTGTGAATCTCAAGAAACCATAGTGTTCTGCTTCTAAAACGGGTATCTGTGCAAGTGACCCCAGACAGAACACACAAGTATTTTGCCAAAGTTACACAATTAACTGGCTGGGTGTAGTAACCTAGGAGGGGAATTAAGCCTGAAACCCGATGAGAATATTAGACGAAAAAAGTGTCAGTTTTTTCTTTTGGTATGCTAGTCTCATATCAAAATTGAATAGGGGGTCAATTCATCAAAGGTTACCACATGCGATAACACGGTCATGTGACTGATTTGCATAAATGATTGCATGCGGTAACAATTTTCCAAAAAAAAAAAAAAAAAAAGTATGGAAAGCACTAATGGACTTCCTTTACGTGACAGGGGAAGAGAACATTTCTTACCGTGACAGGGGAGTCCACCCTCTGAACATTGCTCTCTTCCACTAGAATTTCCCTGTAAAAACAAAAGACAGACAGACTTGAGTTTCTACTCTACCAGTCAATCCAAAACACACAGATTTTATGTTCTGAAGTCATGAATGACACGCACAGTCATGCTGTCTTTGAATTGTGACAGGAGGTACGGGGAGAAGATCCCTCAAATACAGGTGTAACGTTCAGAAAGGTGAACTTATTCTTTAGTGCCAGTTCACATATATGTGGATTGGATGGAGGTTTGAACTGCATCCAACCCGCATGACATGTGAAAAAAAACATTGCTTCCCATGTCCGGTGCGGCTGGCGCCCATGCGGTGCGTGGATTGCTTGCCCATGTCCGGTGCGCTGGCGGCGTGGATTGCTTGCCCATGTCCGGTGCGCTGGCGGCGTGGATTGCTTGCCCATGTCCGGTGCGCCCATGGCGGCGTGGCGGGATTGCTTGCCCATGTCCGGTGCGCTGGCGGCGTGGATTGCTTCCTATAGCCGGTGCACTGGCGGCGTGGATTGCTTCCTATAGCCGGTGCACTGGCGGCGTGGATTGCTTCCTATAGCCGGTGCACTGGCGGCGTGGATTGCTTCCTATAGCCGGTGCACTGGCGGCGTGGATTGCTTCCTATAGCCGGTGCACTGGCGGCGTGGATTGCTTCCTATAGCCGGTGCACTGGCGGCGTGGATTGCTTCCTATAGCCGGTGCACTGGCGGCACTTCCTATAGCCGGCGTGGATTGCTTCCTATAGCCGTTGCACTGGCGGCGTGGATTGCTTCCTATAGCCGGTGCACTGGCGGCGTGGATTGCTTCCTATAGCCGGTGCACTGGCGGCGTGGATTGCTTCCTATAGCCGGTGCACTGGCGGCGTGGATTGCTTCCCATGCCCGGTGCACTGGCGGCGTGGATTGCTTCCCATAGCCCGGTGCACTGGCGGCGTGGATTGCTTCCTATAGCCGGTGCACTGGCGGCGTGGATTGCTTCCCATGCCCGGTGCACTGGCGGCGTGGATTGCTTCCCATAGCCGGTGCACTGGCGGCGTGGATTGCTTCCTATAGCCGTGCACTGGCGGCGTGGATTGCTTCCCATGTGGATTGTGCACTGGCGGCGTGGATTGCTTCCTATAGCCGGTGCACTGGCGGTGTGGATTTAAAAAGAGTCATGTCCAATTTCTGAGCCGTGGCTTCAGGTGCAGATTACAGCCTATTGACTTCTATGGGAACAGTTCCTAAACTGCATGTGTGAGAACAGGATAACATCCTGAGCTAATCCTGTCCTGAACCTGATGTGAACTGCTACTGTATCAATTAGCTGTGAAACCTGAACTTTAATCTGCTCTGCATGTGTGTGAATCAGCTCTTAAGCAGTTAAAACACTAACCCTGGAAAAAAAAAAAACAAAAAAAAAAACACCACATACAAAAACACAAATCTGATGGCTTGAAGTACAAAAGACAGATGATTGGTCAGGTTCAGTGTCTAGATACTCACCGGGCCTTGGCACAAAGGGCTTTTACTTCACTCTCTTTAATAAGTTCACAGCGCCTGCACACAGCGCCTGAGCTGTTCGATTTGCCGGTCGAGGTCGCTGATTTCAGTCATGGCTCCTGCTCCACCAGCCTCTATCTACTGGAGGGAAGGAAAAATTGTATTACTGTCCAGTAATAGGAGGGAGGAAACAATGACAGTTCTACGGATACAAAGGCAATACTACAGCCAGAATACAACCTGATCATAATGCACCCCGGAGTGAGTAAAGGCAAAATATTCTACATGTCTTCTCTCAAAGAAAGCAATATCAGGACTTTCTCATGGCAGTATGTGTCCTCCTGCTGCTCCCACAAGGTCATAATGTCTATATACTGAACATATCTGGGAATTTAGACACCGTCATCAACTGCACTTCATTTCAGCATGTAATTCAAATTTACCAGATACTAAACAAAAATACGAGTTTGGGGTAGAATTTCACATCAATCATCAACCAAAATACTATTTTACTTACTATGAACCAAAATACATTTAAAAGAGTACAAATGCAAAACAAAACGCTGTGTAAACACAAAGGAACACCTCCCCCCTTGGCCAACTCATACACTCTCACGGCTTCAACTACCACCTCTATGCGACGACACACAAATCTATCTCTCAACCCCCCACCTCACCCCCTCGGGTCTCCGCCCGAATCACACACCTACTGAGGGACATAGACTGGATGTCGCTCCACTTCCTTAAACTGAACCTCTCCAAAACAGAGTTTCTGGTCTTCCCCCCCCAGCCTGGACACCACCCCCCATTGACTTCTCCATCACATCCAACAATGCCACCATCAAACCCGCCCCGCAGGCCAGAGTACTGGGTGTCATTCTGGACTCCAACCTATCCTTCCAGCCCCAAGTCCAATCTTTAACAAACTTGTGCAGACTCCACCCCCGCAACATGCAGACTCCACCCCCGCAACATGCAGACTCCACCCCCGCAACATGCAGACTCCACCCCCGCAACATGACTCCAGCAACTGCAGACTCCCCCCCGCAACATGCAGACTCCACCCCCTCCAACATGCAGACTCCACCCCCGCAACATCGCCAAAATCCGCACGTTCCTAACCCCAGAAACCACTAAACAGCTCATCCACTCCCTCATCATATCACGACTCGACTACTGCAACTCCCTCCTCACTGGCCTGCCTCGCCGCTGGCTATCCCCGCTTCAGTCCATCCTGAATACGGCTGCCAGACTCATTCACCTTTCCAACCGCTCCGTCTCCGCCACCCCCCTCTGCCAATCCCTCCACTGGCCTCCACTCAGTGTCCTCCACCCCCCTCTGCCAATCCCTCCACTGGCTTCCCATTGCGCAACGGATCAAATTCAAAATCCTAACACTGACGTACAAAGCCGTCCACCATACTGCCCCGAACTACATCACCGACCTAATATCCAAGTACCACCCAACACGCACACTCCGCTCCTCACAAGACCTCCTCCTCTCTAGTTCCCTGGTCTCCTCCTCCAGGACTTCTCCAGGGTGTCACCCATCCTCTGGAACTCCCTGCCCCAACCCATCAGATTATCACCTATTCTCCTCTCCTTTAGGCGCACGCACCCTGAAAACCCACCTCTTCAGGGAAGCCTACCCCACCCCCTGCTAACTTGCCGACCTCCTCCACTCTTCCTACCACTCCATCCCCCACAGCTATCTCCTCCTGTACCACCATCCCCTCCCACCTAGATTGTAAGCTCCAAGGAGCAGGGCCCTCGATCCCCTCATGTTTTGCATTGTATTGGTATTGTTCTGTCACATGTTCTGTCCCCCTTTGTAATGTACAGCGCTGAGCGAACTATTGGTGCTTTATAAATACTGTATAATAATAAAATATTGAAGGGGCTATGCCACCATTTCTTTGCCTCGTCTCCTCAGATCTTTCCTTCTACATCTTTTCCCAGAGGGAATGTAGGAAGACAATCTCTCCAAATTGAGGGTAAATCCTCTCTAGGAACGGTGTCCCCATCGAAAGATTTACCTTTACCTCCTGTTCCTGCGACAGCTCTACCGGAGACAATGGTCCAAAGGACACAAAGTGAATCTCTCCAGCAGGAATGTGCAGACAGTAATATAGAATGACAGATTTTTTCATTCTTCCCAAAACGTTGGCTTTACTTTCCATGTACACTGCAGCTGATAAACGGACGTTTAGGAGCTTTTCTGCGTTTTTTTCAGCAGCCCCTGAACTCTCCCCAATGTTCTCCTGTGTGTCCATGTACACATCGTCCTCTACAGGCGTTTTTTTTTTAACCCAACAAACATGCGTTCAGGAGTAGATTTTATCAGCGTTTCAAACGCGTGTAAACGCAGCTAACCGCATTTATAAGCATTTGGAAAACATTTTTTTAACTCTTCCATTTCCAGATGCTGTCCAGAGCCTTTTTTTTCATCATAAAAAAATGCATGCAAAGCGGTTTCCGGCACTCAAATGGACCCGGCATACTTTGAGGTTTTGCATGAAAGAAAATATGTTAGACACCGGTGCAATAATTTCTGCACAGAAATGAGCCGGAACAAAAACACATCCAAACACCACAAAAAAAAAAAAAAAAAAAAAAAGACAGCTAATCTCAACAAATACTGCTCTCTCTGCTTCTACTCTCTCTATTGCTCTCAAAATGTCTGAAATGGTTAATTTTTTACTGTTTTTCAGTGCATTCTGGGCATTTTGGAAGGTCTCCTGGGGTTATCTTTAAAAAAACGCTTCAAAACGCAAACGCTCATAAACACGGTATGCAAACGCGGCTAAACAGACTTTTTTTAACCTACGTTTTCCAGCAGTCAGTTTCCATCGTTCAGAAATGTCCCGTGTACATGGGGCCTTTTCTAAAGCTCGCTAGATATGGACTGAAGTGTGTCTGGTTTAGCAGGGACAGGCCAGATTTCAATCCAACTATGGCCAATCACAATTGAGAAGCTGCTCTGATGATCAATTTCTCTCAAAAAAGGACTGTTGAAAAATTTTCCATTCGATTAGAACATTATTATACAGGATTTAATATTTTTATACAGGATTTATATTATTATTATTATACAGGATTTATATTATTATTATATTATACAGGATTTATATTATTATTATTATTATACAGGATTTATATTATTATTATTATTATACAGGATTTATATATATTATTATTATTATACAGGATTTATATTATTATTATTATTATACAGGATTTATATTATTATTATTATACAGGATTTATATTATTATTATTATACAGGATTTTATATTATTATTATTATACAGGATTTATATTATTATACAGGAACATTATTTTATACAGGATTTATATATTATTATTATACGCTTTATTATTATTATTATACAGGATTTATGGCGCCAACAGTTTGCTCAGACTTTACAATATAAGGAACAATACAGTTCAATACAAGAGGGATTGGAGGGCCCTGATCCTGGGAGCTTACCTAGGAGGCACATGCAGCCAATCAGCATCAGCACTGAACAGTGTATTCTGATAGCAAAGAAGTCTCTCTGTATGAATACAATAAGGCTTCCTCCATTGTGTGGATGGGGAAATCTGTTCAGTTTTTTTTTTTCGATTGGCTGATCAAAAAAAAAAAAAAAAAAAAAAAAAAAATGTAAAAGCCATCTATGGCCAGCTTTATTTCACTTGCATATCTACTACTTACTTCAGAACAATGGAGATTTTAAATTAACTGGCAATCCTCACCACCCAGCGCAGAGGTGAAGTGAGGACGTATTGTAACCTGTATCCTCTGCCAGCTTTACAACACAGCATGACAGGCTGATGTAAATGAACTCACAAACCCCAAACTCATGCAACATCAAGATATCTGAGTGTGAAAACATTGCTGGGGAGAGCAACCAAAACACAGAAACTAGGAAACAGGAACATGCATTTCCACTGAAACGATACTATGAGGCTCCACACACACGGGGCGATTTGATAACGCTGGTAACATTAGCTGTTTAACTAGTTGCCGACCGCAGATAGCCGAATGACGGCTACACTGCAGCCGGCCAGTTCTGAGTGGACGTCATATGATCGCACCCGGCGATCCTACGGACACAGCTGATCACGTGATGTGGTAAAAGGCCAATCACAGCGGCCTTTTACCACATGATCAGCGGTGTCCAATGACACGCTGATCAGAGGGAAATGCAAGTGCCGGTTCTCGGCTGCACTTTCCTCACGCTGTCAGATCGTGAGGAAAGTACTGCCGAGAACCGGCAGTTGTCAGAGCGAGGATCGGCACCGATCATCAGGGCACTGATGATCGGTGCCCAGCAGTGCGCCCAGAAGCGCCACCCACCTGCGCCCAGCAGTGCGCCCAGAAGCGCCACCCACCTGCGCCCAGCAGTGCGCCCAGAAGCGCCACCCACCTGCGCCCAGCAGTGCGCCCAGCAGTGCGCCCAGAAGCGCCACCCACCTGCGCCCAGCAGTGCGCCCAGCAGTGCGCCCAGAAGCGCCACCCACCTGCGCCCAGCAGTGCGCCCAGCAGTGCGCCCAGAAGCGCCACCCACCTGCGCCCAGCAGTGCGCCCAGCAGTGCGCCCAAGCGCCCGCCACCCACAGAAGCGCCCAGCAGTGCGCCCAGCAGTGCGCCCAGAAGCGCCACCCACCTGCGCCCAGCAGTGCGCCCAGAAGCGTCCACCCCACCTGCGCCCAGCAGTGCGCCCAGAAGCGCCACCCGTCAGCGCCACCCGTCAGCGCCACCCGTCAGCGCCACCCGTCAGCGCCACCCGTCAGCGCCACCCGTCAGCGCCACCCGTCAGCGCCACCCGTCAGCGCCACCCGTCAGCGCCACCCGTCAGCGCCACCCGTCAGCGCCACCCGTCAGCGCCACCCGTCAGCGCCACCCGTCAGCGCCACCCTCAGCGCCACCCGTCAGCGCCCAGGAGTTGTGCAAGTCCGTGCCGCCTATCCGTGCCGCCTATCCGTGCCGCCTATCCGTGCCGCCTATCCGTGCCGCCTATCCGTGCCGCCTATCCGTGCCGCCTATCCGTGCCGCCTATCCGTGCCGCCTATCCGTGCCGCCTATCCGTGCCGCCTATCCGTGCCGCCTATCCGTGCCGCCTATCCGTGCCGCCTATCCGTGCCGCCTATCCGTGCCGCCTATCCGTGCCGCCTATCCGTGCCGCCTCATCAACGCACATCAGTGAAGGAGAAAAAATACCTGTTTGAAAAATTTTATAATAGAAACAAAGAAACTTTTTTTTTTTTTTTTTCCAAATATTTTGCACTTTTTTTATTTATAGCGCAAAAAGTAAAGCGCCCAGTGGCGATTAAATACCACCAAAAGAAAGCTCTATTTGTGAGAAAAAAATGATCAAAATTTTCATCATTTTTTGGGTACAATGTTGCATGACCGCGCAATTGTCAAAGTGCGGCAGCGCTGAAAGCTGAAAATTGGCCTGGTAAATAAGGGGGTATAAGTGCCTGGTATGCAAGTGGTTAAAGTCACGTTAAAAAAAAGTTTTTCAGCTTTTTTTTTTTTTTTTTTTTAGTGTTTTTGCATTAGCGTTTAGTGGAGTTTTTAATTTTTTTTTGACCCAAAAAAAAAAAAAAAAGTCCAAAAATGCCGGTTTTGTGGTGTTTTACCACATATTTCAGCGTTGGTGTTTTTACAGCAAGCAAAAAAAAAAAAAAAAAAAAAAAAACCACACAACATATCCGTTCTCCCCCCGGACCCCGCCTTCGCTGGAGCCGCTCTCCCCCCGGACCCCGCCTTCGCTGGAGCCACTCTCCCCCCGGACCCCGCCTTCGCTGGAGCCACTCTCCCCCCGGACCCCCCGCCTGCCTTCGCTGGAGCCGCTCTCCCCCCGGACCCCGCCTTCCTTCTCTGGAGCCGCTCTCCCCCCGGACCCCCTTCCTTCTCTGGAGCCGCTCTCCCCCCGGACCCCGCCTTCTCTGGAGCCGCTCTCCCCCCGGACCCCGCCTTCGCTGGAGCCGCTCTCCCCCCGGACCCCGCCTTCGCTGGAGCCGCTCTCCCCCCGGACCCCGCCTTCGCTGGAGCCGCTCTCCCCCCGGACCCCGCCTTCGCTGGAGCCGCTCTCCCCCCGGACCCCGCCTTCGCGCTGGAGCCGCTCTCCCCCCGGACCCCGCCTTCGCTGGAGCCGCTCTCCCCCCGGACCCCGCCTTCGCTGGAGCCGCTCTCCCCCCGGACCCCGCCTTCGCTGGAGCCGCTCTCCCCCCCGGACCCCGCCTTTTTAGGCGATCAGAAGTTCTTATTTTTTGTAGCTATGACCTTTTATTTTTTTTTTTTTCGCAGGAGACTGGAGATCCGCTTTAAGCCGGGGTAGTTGGGTGGGGGTGCTAAAAAAAAAGACATCACTGCCACATCTTAACGCCCCCCCCCCCCCCCACAGCAAGTGTGAATGAGCCCTTAGGAGTGTCCGGCTCACAACACTGCTCTCTCCACTTGAATCCTGCGTGCGATGTTAGTTTCCCTCCTTGCAGTGTACATTTTGCAGCACGCATTCCTCTCCCCTTCGGGCTCGCTTTGTGACGCGTGGAATTCAATGTTTTACCTATTGCATTGCCTTGGCAACAAGCCTCGTGGCACTTGTAATGACAGACTTGACATTTTGTACTTTCCATCTATGGTTTTTGTTTGTCAGCCGCAAGAGCATTTTTTTTTTTTTTTTTTTTTTTGATAGCAATACAAAGGTTTTTAAAAGGCTTAATAAATGTACTTATTTCTGCGATTTACTGTACTCTTCATAGATTTTTTTTTTTTATTTATTTATTTAAACTGATGCATAAGGTGGTGATAAAGTGGTTTACATCGGTTTGTCTAGTTTGGTGACCCTGGTCTGTTCCCCCTCCACTGTATGTTTTTAGGCCAGCCTGCTTATAACTACCCCCCCCCCCTCCTGAACCAACCAATGGGTCCTGGAGTTAAACGCTCTGTGTTTTAGGGCCCATGTACACTGCAGCTGCTAAACTGACGTTCAGGAGCTGTTGAGCATTTTTTTTTTTTTTTTTTTCAGCAGTCCCTGAGCTCTTTTTTGTTTTTTTTTTTTTTTGTTTGTTTTTTTTTTCCTGTGTTTTTAGGCGATTTCTTGAATGCACCAAAAGTGCATTCAGGAGTAGATTTTACCAGCATTTCAAACGCTTGTAAGCGCATTTTGAAGAGAGGTTTTCAGAGATCGCCTAAAAGTGGGCAGAGTAGGCAGTAGTCGGGTAGAGAGTTCCAGAGGATGGGTGAGGCTCTGGCAAAGTCCTGGAGATGAGCATGGGAGGAGGAGACAAGGAAGCTAGAGAGCAGGAGGTCATGGGAGGAGCGGAGAGTACGGTTTGGGTGATATTTAGAGACAAGATCGGTGATGTAATTTGGGGCAGAGTTATAAATGGCTTTATATGTTGTTGCTAGTGTTTTGAATTGTATCCATTGGGCAATGGGAAGCCAGTGGAGGGATTGGCAGAGAGGGGTGGAGGACACTGAGTGGAGGCCAGTGGAGGGATTGGCAGAGGGGGTGGAGGACACTGAGTGGAGGCCAGTGGAGGGATTGGCAGAGAGGGATGGAGGACACTGAGTGGAGGCCAATGGAGGGATTGGCAGAGAGGGATGGAGGACACTGATTGGAGGCCAATGGAGGGATTGGCATTGAGGGGTGGAGGACACCGAATTGGGGGCCAGTAGAGGGATTAGCAGAGAGGGGTGGAGGACACTGAATGGGGGCCAGTGGAGGGATTGGCAGAGACGGGTGGAGGACACTGAATGGGGGCCAGTGGAGGGATTGGCAGAGACGGGTGGAGGCCAGTGGAGGGATTGGCAGGGAGTGGAGGCCAGTGGAGGGATTGGCAGGGAGGGTGGAGGACACTGAATGGGGGCCAGTGAAGGGATTGGCAGAGAGGGGTGGAGGACACTGAATGGGGACCAGTGGAGGGATTGGCAGAGACGGGTGGAGGACACTGAGTGGGGGCCAGTGGAGGGATTGGCAGAGAGGGGTGGCAGATACAGAACGGTTAGTAAGGTGGATGAATCTGGCAGCAGCATTCATGATAGACTCAAGAGGGGATAGCCTGCGATGAGGTCGGCCAATGAGGAGGGAGTTACAATAGTCAAGGCGAGATATAACCAGGGAGGGAATAAGTTGCTCCATGAATAATATTTCTCCATCTATGACTTGAGCAGACATGGCAACTCCCAGAATGCTAAACTACATCAGAAAAGGTCTTGGTCTGGGTCATTTTGGGACTTGGGATCCCCCTGACTTGTACGACGGGATGATGTCTTGGCTAGGTCAATATCCAGACTTTAGCTCGAGGCCATGAAGCCGTCTTGACAAAACCAGAGCACCTCATCTTGATCCTAACAGCCAAATGGAGCAGCAGTTTAGATGAAGGTGGTGTTCTGCCCTTCAAGGGGGTATAGTATACATTTATAGTACGATATGGATGCTCCTGCTGGTTTTGGATCCGGCTCCCAGACATTTGGAGACCTGTCCAGGGTTGTAGCAAACGCTGCAGCTGTATTAAATTCAGAAAAGTTGACTTTTTTAATCTAGCTTCCGTGTGAATCCATTGCAGCCCATCCAGAGAACCTGTTTCAAGTAATGTACTTTCCGAAGCCTGTTCTGTATACGGTAACTTTCATTTATCACTTTTTCCTAATCTGAGGTGAGATTGAAGATGTTGTATCTGAAAACTAAACCTCCACTTAGGCACTGGTCACATTTGGGAAATCAGGAAAGATGCCAGTTTGGGTGCCATTTTACCACGATTATCACACAACAGTCTTGGCAAAACACGCTTGTAAAATCCCGCCTGGCTCAGGTCCAATACTAGGTCCCTGAATTCCTTTGGCACGACAAACGCACATATCCCAACCACGGCACCAACTGCCTGGAGTTAGCATGTTCTCCCTGTGTCGGTGTGGGTTTCCTCCGGGTACTTCCGTTTAGTAACACTCTTCTAGAAGCCTGCAGCTATTTTGCTGAAAAATACCTACCCGTCTAAAGTTTTACAGGCGTCAATTCATTCTATTGGATAGAAAAAATCATTTATTCTAGCCGTGAAAATTAATGTTCCAGTAGTGTCCAGCATTTCTTCTGCCCACACTCTGCTGCCCCCCTGGACCCACTGGCCCTGGAGTGGTTTTCCTGCCCCTAAAGCTTGTAAAAAAGTATATGTGCGCATGGACACAGGAGAACATGGAGGGGCATTTGGAAGCAGGAAAGAAAAAAAACACCACAAAAAAAAGGAAAAAAAAAAAAAAAAAAAAAAACCACAAAAACACTAAAAAGTGGCTGCAAAAGCATCCTGTGTTCATGAGGCCTTAGGAGGTGTAGAACACATGCCGCACATCTAAAAATGTAGCTTAAGAAGTGCAGATTTTCAAAATTACTAAATGTCTAGTCAGAACCTGATCCCACAGGTTGCACTGAAACAGCGAGGACACATATGGGAGCTGTATTTTGCCAATTTGAAAGCTCTGGAGCCCATCCCCCTTATCCATGATTCAGTGACCAGCATCAGGCATTCGGCCACAACAGAATCTATACCCCTGACCAGTATGTTTGTTGCAGACTTAGTAAAAGTAAGCAGGATTACTGCCAGAGAAACCTTTGCCTATGAAAAAGGAAAGAAAAAAAAAGGGAAAAAAAGAAAAAAGGGAAAAACCAAAAGGAAAGAAGAAGAAGGGGGAAAAAAAAAAAAAAAAAAGGAAGGAAAAAAGGGAAAAAAAGAAAAAAAGGGAAAAACCAAAGGAAAGAAGAAGAAGGAGGAGAAGAGGAGGAGAAGGAGGAGGAGGAGAAGGAGAGGAGGAGGAGGAAGAGAAGGAGGAGAAGAAGGAGGAGGAGGGAGGAGAAGAAGGAGGAGGAGGAGGAGAAGAAGGAGGAGGAGGAGAAGGAGGAGGAGAGAGAAGGAGAGGAGGAGGGAGGAGAAGGAGGAGGAGGAGAAGGAGGAGGAGGAGAAGGAGGAGGAGGAGAAGGAGGAGGAGGAGAAGGAGGAGGAGGAGAAGGAGGAGAAGGAGGAGGAGGAGAAGAAGGAGGAGGAGAAGAGGAGGAGGAGAGAAGGAGGAGAGGAGAGGAGGAGGAGGAGAAGGAGGAAGGAAAGGAGGAGGAAAAAGGGAAAAAGGAGGAGAAAGGAAAGGAGGAGGAGGAGGAGGAAAGGAAGGAGAAGGAGGGAAAAAGGAGGAGGAGGAGGAGGAGGAGGAAGAAAGGAGGAGGAGGAGAAGGAGGAGGAAAGAAGGAGGAGGGAAGAGAAGAAAAAGGGAAAAAGGAAAGGAAAGAAGGAAAAAGGGAGAAGGAGGGAGGAAAGGAGGAGGAAAGGAAAGAAGAAAAGGAGGGAAAAACAAAGGAAAAGAAGAAGAAAAAGGGAAAAAACAAAGGAAAGAAGAAAAAAGGGACAAAAACAAAGGAAAGAAGAAAAAGGGACAAAAAGGAAAGAAGAAAAAGGGACAAACAAAGGAAAGAAGAAAAGGGACAAAAAGAAAGAAGAAGGGAAAAACAAAAGGAAAGAAGAAGGGAAAAAAAAGGAAAGAAGGAAAAAAGGAAAAGCCCACAACACAGCAGTTCCTATATTTCTATCCCCCCCCCCCCCCCCCCCGCCCCCCCAATGTCCCTCAAATATAAAGAACAATTTAGCAGTAACTTCCGTGGGTCAGGGACAGAAGGCGGAGAGCCCAGGGCCCGGCCCAGTAAGTAAAGACGGCAGCACAGCCAAGTAATACAGTTTCTTCCCGTTACATAACTGGTCACATGGTTTAAAAGCCAGCTATGTGTGTAGAACACCTAAAAGAGGATTAATGTGGTAAACAGCCAGGACTTATGGGCTGCGGATGGCTGTACAAAGCTGACCGGAGAGGAAGCTGCACAACGCACACAATAAGACAGGACCACACTGACCTTCCAGCTTTTCACAAAAGAAACATTTTTAGGCTCCATGTACACTGCAGCTGATAAACTGACGTTTAGGAGCTTTTCTGCGTTTTTTTCCCAGCAGCCCCTGAACTCTCCCCAATGTTCTCCTAGGTGTCCATGTACACATCGTCCTTTACAGGCAGTTGAGTTTACAGTCGTTATTTTGAACGCACCAAAACTTGCATTCAGCAGCTGATTTTATCAGCATTTCAAACGCCAAATGCTTGTAAACGCAGCTAACCGCATTTATAAGACTTTGGAAAATGTCTTTAACTCTTCCATTTCCAGATGCTGTCCAGAGCCTTTTTTTCATCATATAAAATGCATGCAAAGCGTTTTCCTGACACTCAAATGGACCCGGCACACCACACTGAGGTTTGCACAGAAATGAGCTGGAACATCCAAAACACCACAAAAAAAAAAAAAAAAAAAAAAAAAAAAAAGAAAAAGACAGCTAATCTCAACACATACTGCTCTCTCTGCTTCTGCTCTATTTTTCTCAAAAAGTCGAAATAGTTAATTATTTATGGTTTTTCAGTGCATTCTGGGCATTTTGGAAGGTCTCCTGAGGTTATCTTTAAAAAATGCTTCTAAAAACGTAAACACTCAAACGCAGTATGCAAACGCGGCTAAACAGACGTTTTTTAACCTCCATTTTCCAGCAGTCAGAAGATTTTTTCAAATGTCCAACTAGGCCAATCACAATTGAGAAGTTGTTCGAAGGATCAATTCCTCTCAAAAAAAGGAATGTTGATAAATTTTCCATTCGATCAGCACATGCAGCCAATCAGCATCAGCACTGAACAGTGTATTCTGACAGCAAAGTCGTCTCTCTGTATACATACAATAAGGGTTTTCTCCATCCACCTCCATTGTGTGGATGGCGAAATCTCCAAAGACATGCTGGTAGGTGAACTGAATCCTGTCTACATTGTCCCTAGTATGTGTATGTATGAATGAGGGTTAGGGACCTTAGATTGTACGCCCCTTGAGGGTTAGGGGCCTTAGATTGTACTCCCCTTGAGGGTTAGGGGCCTTAGATTGTACTCCCCTTGAGGGTTAGGGGCCTTAGATTGTACTCCCCTTGAGGGTTAGGGGCCTTAGATTGTACTCCCCTTGAGGGTTAGGGGCCTTAGATTGTGCGCCCCTTGAGGGTTAGGGACCTTAGATTGTGCGCCCCTTGAGGGTTAGGGACTGATGTGAATGTACAATATACATGGAAAGCGCTGTGTAAATTGATGGCGCTATATAAGTACCTGTAATAAAAATAAATCTGTTCAGTTTTTCGATTGGCTGATCAAGAAATGAGAAAAAAAAAAAAAAAAGGCAGGTCATCTCAACATACACTACTCTCCAGGGGCGGACTGACAACTCAAGGGGCCCCCCGGCAATAGGGGATCATGGGGCCCCTGTGTCCTTGCCCAAACTCAAAAAAGCCTATGAAAAAAGAGGTACCGGTGGCATCTCATGGGGCCCCCTACTGACCCCGGGCCCTCGGGCAGTGCCCGAGTTTCCAAATGGTCAGTCCGCCCCTGCTACGCTCTGTTTCTGCTCTCTATTTCTCTCAAAATGTCAAAATAGTTAATTTACTGTTTTTCAGTGCATTCTGAGCATTTTGGAAGGTCTCCTGAGGTTATCTTTAATAAACGCTCATAAACGCGGTATGCAAACGCGGCTAAACAGACATTTTTAACCTACATTGTCCAGCAGTCAGTTTCCATCGTTCAAAAGTGTCCCGTGTACGTGGGGCCTGAGGGCCAATAAAAGCAAGCAAGACAATTTATAAAATAGATGGAAGTTATTATTTGTTCAAGGAAGTTGTCATTTTGTAAGTCTCTACCCAGGAAAAAGTGAAACCAAGCCAAAAACACACACCACCCCCCCCCCCCCCCCTGCAATGTTACCACAATGACAGACATTCTGCACCTTTTTCATAGCATTAGATCAAAAGAAATCACCTTCTGATCCCGCCTTTCAACTGTACAGATCTCCAATCCCAGTGGGGTCCCACAATGCTTTTACAGCCGCTTTTACAGCGGATACCGTGACCGCGGGGGTCCGGGGGGGAGAGCGGATACAGTGAGCGGGGGTCCGGGGAGAGCGGATACAGTGACCGCGGGGGTCCGGGGAGAGCGGATACAGTGACCGCGGGGGTCCGGGGGAGCGGAGCGGAGCGGATACAGTGACCGCGGGGGTCCGGGGGAGAGCGGATACAGTGACCGCGGG